GGGGGGGGGGGTCCCTCACCTGTCATAAGGGTACACGCCGCCGTAGGTGACACTCTGGTCGCTGCTGCCCTTGACGCCGCTGCTCAGCGTCTTGAGGAAGTCGCCGGCCGCGCGCGCCTCCCGGGCGTTGCTGTCGTTGGGCTGGTGCGCGTCGTGGAGGGCGAGGGCGTTGCTGTCGCCGCTGCCCTGGCCGATGGACGCGGCCGCGGCGCAGGCCACCAGGGCGAGGAGGGAGAGGAGGCGGAGGGAGGACATGGTGCTGGTCGGGCTGGTCGCAGCTGACTGATGCTCGGGCACGCCGCGGCCCGCGATATATTAGGCAGCGCAGCGGAGCGCCTATCAGGCGCTGCCGCCGGCTGTTGACGGGCAGGTGTCTCTCCGAGTGGGTGGGTGAGACAGAGAGAGAGAGAGGGGGGGGGGGCTCCCTGGCAGATACCGGCGTTGCGTCTTTGCGAAAGTGTTTGCGAAAGTATAACGCCAACTCGAATATCATAGTGCCGATTATTTTACAATGTAGCGACTTGATTTTAACTGAATGGAAGATCCAACCAAGAACACAAACAACACCCCTGCTCTTGGACAAGAGCACATCTCAACCCGCCATAGAGCATTTCCTCCTCTAATCGGCATGTAACAATAAAGACGAAATCGGGCATTTCATTTTTCGCTTTACGTTTCGACCAACATATAATTTCCGCCGGATCGCGCCGGCAGCCGGCAGTCCTTGCTGCACGGCCGGCCGGATATGCGGCCGAGGTATGCGTGGTTCGCCGCGGTGCCCGGACGACATCTTTGGACTTCTCTAGTCTGGGTCCTCGCTTCTATTGGCACGTCCCGGCGGCGCCCGGGCTCGGCCGGATGTGCGGCAGGCCTGCCAACCGACTGGCAACATTGTCACCCAAACTGCCCTCCCGCAAGTGTGTTTGGCATGCCCCCTGCTGCTGCCGCTGCTGCTTGCTGCTGCTGCTTGCTGCTGCTGCTGCTACTGCTACTGCTACTGCCGCCACTACCCGGCGCCACGCTGGACACCGCGGGACACCCAACTTCTCTCGACTTCTCCATGAGCGCGCGTTTCTATGAACATTAACGCAACAAGACATGCTGCAAATACAGCGCACACGCTCACACACACATTCACTCTCACACACACGCGCGCGCAGCTTGGCTGCGGCGGTCCGATCCGATCGGACGGAGATGCGTTGCGACCCCGTTTTCCTCTCCTAGCCGCCCTCCTGGCCGCCGACAAGCAGCGCCCCTGCCTGCTTGCCTTCATTCAGCAGCGCGCCCCGCCACGGCCCGCCACGCAGCCAACGTTGAACGTGGCGCTATGCTACCGTGGCATGTCGGGGCGGGGCGGGGCTACCACATAAAGACGGCATTATTTATCGCTTGTCTGGCTCGCATACGTTGCAAGTCCTTTTGGCATGATGCATTCCCCCACCCCCCCTCCCTCTTACTTCTCGCGTCTACTGGTCCCGCCCCTGCTGGTCACGCAGCGGCCGGCTGATCTCGAGGGTCTAGCATAAAGTGTTGTTCCGCCGGACCTCGGCTCCTCGACGTTGTTGTTTGACGGAGTGTCGCCGGCGGCCTGGTGATTGATTTCCCAGGAATAAAGACCGATTGATTCAAGGAATAAGGCCCAGGTGTAGGTGGGCGGGAAGTAAGCAATCGGCGTTGATTGATAATAAATTGAGTTCTATTTGTGACGTTAGTCACGCCCCACTTATCCTTGTTATCTCGCGAGCCTTTGCTCGGGCCGTCTTCAGTATCGTCGTGACGCGTAAACATGTGACGCCGTCACCCTGGAGTACCTGTAATGACGTTTGTCAAGATGGATGTGGGTGATGCCGTCACTCTAGAGTGTCTCTAATGACGTTTGTTAGGCCGTATAACGGAGCCGAATGGCTTTGCATTGCTCGTTGATGACGTACTACAAGCGGGCTGTAAAAGCTGGCTGACATGCATGCACATCTATATGTGCGTGCATCGAGGCCGTCTTCGCGGGGGCATTTGGTGAAACTACCACCTCTGTGACAGGAGGCCGTCGATGCCGGGGAGAACTGGGGCGAAAGGTTGCACAGATTATCGCTTCTCGAAATGACTCATGCAGGAAACCAGAGTGTATCCAAACCACATGAGGCGCTGTTTCCTCGACTCCGCGTGTGATAACGAGGAACACTTGACTTCATTCTGATACCGTATAGCAGGTGGCTGGAAAAGGGAGTGTGGGATTTTCTTTCCAACGCCCGCGCGTCCGTCCCATACTTCCGTGGTGATGCTGTGCCGCACTGCACGCGTGCGATTGAGTTGCCTATTTACGGCCGCAAGGCGCCATGTGGGCGGAGACAACAGACTAAACCGTCCGCACGAGCCCGTCAGTGGTGGACGGGGCGAATCAGTAAGGTGGCTGGCACTGTTCCGCAGGCAGACGCGATGGGGTTTGCAAAGTTTGTTTATTTTTTGCTTTTCACCACCAGCCTCAGATCGTTAGGCGCGTTTTCTAATTTAAAATTTGCCCTCACCACCGTCACCGTGTTAGTAGTACACGAATATGTATGTATGATTGATTGTGGCGACTCTTCCTGTTTGGGACTCATACGTCATAACATGCCAATGATTGTCAGTTATAATATGGCATACAATTGCATAGCTGTTGTGCACATATACGTGTGTGTCGCTTGTATGTAAATTTCCTTTAGTTACCTATAAGCCACATGTGTCTCTTAAGGGAAGCAGAAAGCATAATACAAACATGTTTGTTTAAAGATTATTTTTGTTTTATTAAATTAAGAGCAAAGACGAGGTGAGAGTCGAGTTCAATGTTCAATAACGGCCGTAGATGACGACGTTCCATGCGACGCTGTGGTTGCGGTCGGACTTGACCTTGACCTCGGCGGAGCGCTGGCCGGGGCCGCCGGCCTGGACGGAGGCCTGCCCGATGTTGGCCGTCTTGAGGGGCTGCAGCAGGAGGCAGCTGATGAGTCCGCCCTGGCCGCTACCCGGGTACTTGACGATCTCCTTGACGACCTTCATCCACTTGGACTCCAGGCGCACCGTCTGTTGCAGCAGAATCCTGGACACAGAGAGAAACGTTGACAATAAGGGTTGGTTTCAAATCTGCGCGCGCGAATGGTTCAGCGAGGTTCAACATGGCCGCAATGCTGTTCGAAATGATTGGGGCGCTTACCGGTCGCTGCTGCCGCAGGTGCCGATAACGATGTCGTTGCTGCCGCCCAGCTGGTTCTGGGGGAGGACCACGTCGGCCACGGCCAGGGTGCTGAGCGCCAGGCAGCAGCACGCCGCGAGCAGCACCGAGTTGCGGAGGGTGGCGACCATCGTGATCGAGAGGAGAGAGTTGAGTTTGAGCGGCGACTGTGAGGAGGGGACGGTGTCCTGGTGTTGTCTGCCCGCCCCTTCTCATTACGCCGACTATATACCCCGTCACGCCCTCCTCGAGCGCGGCGGAGATAGCGCCGCGGGCCCTGATTGGGCGAGCTTCCCTCCGCCCAGGACGGCACGCTCAGAGGGCACGCCGCCGTGCACAGTGTGTGCGGTGTCACTGCCAAGGTCCACCCTGTGTGGGGGTAAATAACAATGAGTCACAGTTCAGAATTTTAATTTTCCAAAAAGAAAAAAGTATTTTAGGGGAATTTTTCAAGGGCATTTTTCCCTGCAAATTTTATTGTTTAAAGAATTTTCGGGGGAAATATCCCACTTTTTTTTTGGAAAAGTTTCCAATTTTCCCGAAAAAATTTCACCTTTAAATCCCTAGTCACAGTTGTCGTTTCTGCACGTGTGTAGGCGCAAAGAAAACAAAGGTTGTTCTTATTATTTGCCACACTTTACCTCGGCGAACACGATGAGCGCCAGGGGGGAAAACGCCCGATGTGACTGGAGTGGCTGGCTGGAAACCCCCGCCCACTTGTCAGCTCGGCTGTGCCGCGTTGCGCGCATGTGGGCGTTTTGCCTATTCACCGGGGGCCGAGGCACCGTGGTTTGGGCTGGAACGACTATAACAATCTCACTTTAGGGATGTTCCAGAAAGTACGTCCGCGTTTTGTAGATTCGTTCCTCAAATTTCTGGAGGTCGGCGCCTGCGAAAGCCAGCGTAGGCAACCCGGCAGTGCACGCGTGCTTTGCAGGAAAGACGTTGCCTACCGATCAGGCGCTAGGAGAGCTTCCATTAGCTGAACTGGGCAGTTTAGGAACGGCAAAAGGCGGGCGTACTTTATGGATGATCCCTTAGTGAGCTGTTCCAAAAACCTGTCCGATAGTGTAAGTGTAAGTTGCCACTGTTGTTACGAAACTAGCTGGACGAGATTGTCGCTCGTAATTCGATCTTATTGCTCCATCGGGTATAATCTGCTCCTCCATACGGCAGAATTTTTATTTACTTACTGTTGAAAGTGCAGGACAACCCAGCTCTACACAACACCCTGTAAAGTGTGTTCTTCGACCGATTTCTCTAGAACATTTACAAGAAGCAATTAATTTCTCATTTGCACCTATGCTGCTTCGTTGCAAATCAAATATGTTCTCGGTTTAACCGACCACAATGACTTCGGCCAAGAGCACGCGTGCTTCTTTTTTCGTTTTGTTGTGTTGCAAATGAATTTTCTGATTATATTTAGGTGGCCAGTTTTCTCCGTTAATAGCTCTGGCAGCTATGGCATATGATAAAAGGTTTCGCGCCCAAGCTAAAGGTCACACTTCTTCATCCTGGAGTTGTACTATGCAGATACATAAAAATAAAAAATGCGTTAGTTGCTCCGAAATCCCGGCCGCCGAGCGTTTAGTGTCTGAGCTCCCCGCACACACAGACACACACGCACCCGCCCACGTTTCTCGTGTAAATACGGGGCGTAATTTGTACACCGGGACTGTTTAATTTGCAGTGCCCCGGCCCGGCCCGCCGTGTCGTGACAAATTGTTCTCACTCCTGGTGCGGCGCGCGCCGAGCCGCGCCGGCCACGCCGTGCGGAGCCGGGAAGGACTAATAGTCATACATCGTCTTTTGCACAGGACCACTTGGCGTGCCGATAGGCATCTCCTCTGCCGCCCGGGTCCCTGCCCTCGCCCGCGACGCCCCCCGATCCGGCTCGGGTTTATGGATCGCCGATCTAACGGCTTGGCATTTCATCTCTCCCTGTCTCTCCCCCTCTCTCTCTCTCCTGCCTGTACCGCAGCAGCAGCGCCTACACGCCTCTTATCTTAATTATTTGACGCTGAAATTAACTCCGACATGGCGGGACTATCGATATTATTCTAGCAGGTGCGGGAGGCAGGTGGGACCGGTTCGGCTGCTGCTCCGCTCACTGCTGGACTATTTGGTCTTGGAGGGCTTTACGCGGGGAGGCCGACGGGACGAGTGTCGCATGCCTCTACCCCTTCCCACCTTCCCCTTGCGCAGTATTCTCTCTCTCTCTCTCTCTCTCTCTCTCTCTCTCTCTCTCTCTCTCTCTCACTCTCACTCTCTCATTTTCTCTCTCTCTCTTACTGTCTCTCTGTCTCTATCTCTCACTGTCCGCCACTGTCTCCCACTCACTCTCTCTGTCTCTCACTTACTCTCTGTCTCTCCCTCTACTTCTCTGTCTCTCTGTGCCTCTCTCTCCTCCCCACTCTAACGAGGGTGACGCTCCGACCTGAACGATAAGAGCAAAGCAATTATCGTTGGCGCTGCTCAACTGGCCCGCCTGTGCTCGTCGATTGTTTCGTTCTCTTATCTCTGTAACGAGGTTGCCTCTTGCCTCCCCCGACACGCGCGGATTTTTATTATTTTAAATAAAATCAGCGTCGGCTTTGGAATATGATAAATGTATCATTTTCTCCTCACGTCCGCCTCGGTGTACGGTATGAATGTGTGTGTTTTGCGGCGAGTGCAGCCCCCGTGGACATAGCGAAATGGCTGGCAATTTGTTGAGGGAGGCATCGCGTTAGTGCGGCCCGTTAATCTCTGGCTTTGGGTTTCTTTACGCGCGCGTGCAGCAATCATCTGTTCGCGACGTGAGACTGGAATATGATTGCTGTGATTGTACACGGTGGTGAGGGGGGTGGGTGGGGGAGCATCATCATCAGATAGCCAAGTTTCTGAATTCAGTCTCATATATGCATGTCATATGCACATTTTAATTTTCTCTCCTATTACAAAGATATCCTATCACAGACACATTTTCTTTAAAGATATATAGTGGAGGATTGTATTTCTCTATCGCGTCGTCGTCGTTTATTGTCTTAGTGGCCGTAGACCTGCACGAGGTAGTTGAGGCCGTGGTTGCGCTGCGAGTGGAAGCGCAGCAGGACGTGGTTGTAGCTGACGCCGCCCTCCTTCACCTTCACCTCGCCGTTCTTGCCGTCCCGGCGCTGGTCCAGGATCTTGATGCACGAGATCTTGTAGCCCACCTCGTTCTTTTTGGGGTAGACCACGTCCGCGTCGCGGATCATCATCCACCAGCTCTCCTTGTAGGCGGTCTCCTGCAGCAGCAGCCTATATGGGAAAATAGAATATAAAATATTGAAATATTTTTCTTCGTGGTTTGTTTGTCCTAATCTTCTGCTTGTCTTCCAGCCCTGTGTGGCGTAGTTTGTTATGTGCTCTAAGGTGGCGACTGAAGAGGTGTGAGGGCGGGGCGGCAGAGCCTGAGGCGCTAACACCTTCCCCGCCGGCACCCTGGGCCCGCAGCAGCACAGCTGGCCCGACCCGGCCCGCTGTCCGTCTCTGACGTTGACTCTGTTTGCCCAAGTGCTCACTGTGTGGTACTACTCAGGGCCTAAGCGCATGTGTCTACGACTAGCAGCCGCTGGCATTGTGGTGCAAGGTACATGCCCAGGCACCTATCAATAACATTGACGCAAACAGCAGCATGCTACTCGTACATTCTGCAACCCGCGCGATACGGCTAAACTTTGAGCACGAGTGGAACTCTTATAGGGACTCAAATCGAACTGCGACGACGGAAGCGCGTGGGCGATCGGCCTATCGGGGTCACCCGAGGTCACTCACCTGTCCTGCCAGGTGGTGCTGCCGATGATGACGCTCTGGTCGTTGGCGTCGACGCCGACGCTGGTGGCGTTGAGGTAGGGGTAGATGCCGGGCTGCAGGACGGCGCCGCTGGCCGCGGAGGGGGCGCAGGCCAGCACGGCCAGGGCCGCGCCGCAGGTCAGCAGGATGCTCTGGAAGGAGGCGCGGAGCACTCGGGTCAGGCGTCCGCGCGTACTGACCGCACGACGTGGACCACCATCGCCACTACAGGGTGTCCCAAAATGAAAGTTTGATCAAGCTTGGGTTATTGTTTTATACCTCGGACTTGAACCGAACACGTGGCTTATTTGCAAGGTAAGCGCATTACCAGTTCAACTCGCCGCGCGTTCGTTTCAAAATCGACCCAAGCCGTGCCCAAAAACCTTCATTTTGGGACATCAACCGCCCCGGACGCGGTACCCGGTACCCGGTACCGGTACAGTACTCACCTGCCAGGTAAACGCCATGGTGCTCTAGTGTCGCGTCTGGGGGCCTGACTGATGTCCCTCCCCTCCCCGCCCGCCGCTTATAAGGCGGCCAGCAGGGCGCGCTGCCGTCGTCGGCGACCTGGGCGGTGTGACTCAGACGCGGGGCGTTGCGAGGGTATGGCGCGCGCGAGGTGCCTAGACTGGACTGTGTACTTGTTGAACGCCGGCGTCGCCTTACCGTGAACCTGACGCGGTCGATCGCTCAAAAGGATGTCGTGGCCGCGCGGACGCTATCTTCCTGATATCAAAGTTCAAACCGTTTGCCCGTGCGGCGTTCCCATTAGATTATTTTCGTCGAGTGTGTGTTTCCCTCTGCGGCACTTGTGGAAAAATATTGAACGAGTGTCTTGTGTGTGCGGCGAGGTTTAAGGTGCAACACTGAAACGCTCCTTCCTGCTCTGCTGGGGGGCACTCTAGGATCTTTCCGTTCAAACTCCCTGCGGCCGCCTGCAAGAGTGACTGGCTCGCCTATGCCGTGCCGCCGCCGCGTCACGTCCTCGCAGGCATCCCGCAGGCACTTATGCGCCGGGGCGCGCCCCTCTGTTTGCGCTGTTAGTTGTTGTTCGGCCAGGGGCGTGAGAAACGTCGAGAAGACGGGCTGCACTCGCAGCGTTCAGTCGGTGGCAGTACCTCTATGTTCAGTTTTCTCTACTTTTCCATAAAAAGTCATTAGTTTTGAATTTTGAAATCATTACACCTGATACCCTAAGTATACTTAGTTTTTACAATAAATTATATGTGCAATAGAGATGGTCATGTGCGGATTAAATGAGTAAATGCTCAGAAAAGCAGTAGATGATAGAGCGATATTTCTTTCCACCGCATTTGCATTTTCATTTACTGCGAAAAAGACGTGCCGTTGAGGTCATTAGTGAACGAAACAGACACGGATTGAGCCGTTTGAGAAAGTACGTGCATGAGCATCTTACGTATTTACGACGCCGTACCGTGGCGGGCCATTCAAATAGCCTTTAAATCATCACACACCTCGGGTCGAGGTCGGAAAAAATAAAATAAAATGTGGAGAGAAGTACGACGTTAATCAATGAGCAGCAAAAGAAGAGCCATGCTCTTAGTAGAATTAATAAATATAAATACAACGGTACACATACTGGGCGCGCACCGAGGCGGACGTCTCAATCGAGCTGGCCCAGCGATATGTATTGATATTCGATGTATCGATATTCATACTCGGGCGTGCGGTTATTAAATTGATTTTAGGGAAGGGGGCCCGAATAATGATCAGAAGCGGGTGTGGGAGCGGGTCGGACTAGCTCGTCAGGTGTTGCGTCCAACGACTCGGCCGTCTCCACCGCCTTGTGCTCTCTGATCTGATGGCCGCTCAGATTACCTGTACGCTCCGCGCGGAATTCGCTCGGCCCGTGTCGAACAAGGTAGAGCATGAGACCCGAGCCAGGCCAGGCCAGGCTGGGCCAGGCCTAGTGAAAAGTGGCACCTATGATTTTCGACACGCCCGACGCCCGGTCCGGCTCGGATGCAGACGGGGTCCATCCATGGGAATTATAGGGCGTGATGGGGCGGTGCCCCCATAGGCCGGCAGGGGAGGCGCCGGGCCGCGCCGTCCGCACGGCTAGCAGCGCGGCCCAGGATGTGCGTGAGCGAATCACGGCTGCCCCACCCGCCCGGCGCTGGGGCTGCCAACTGGAGCCCGAGGATGAGGAGGAAGGCGCTGCTGGCTGGTGCAGCCTCCACCGCCTCATCGACGTCGTCGTCGTCGTTGCGATGAGCGGAGAGGAACTCGATTCCGAGAGCGGGTTGGGGGCGTGGCCGCCCGACTGGCCGCTGTCCAAAGTGCATCTGCTGCTGCTGCCTCGATCCGCAGCCTGGTCTGGTCTAGTGAAGCAGGCCCATTATTTGAGTAGAGCGGGGCATCCTCGTCGTCGTATTCCTTTATGGGCCGGTGGGGAGCTGCTCTGGCCCCGCCCCGCCCCGCCCTGCGCCCGGCTTGGCTCGCCTTTGTCAGCTGGTTAACGAGGTGCGAAGGTACCCCCCGCGTATCCCGGTGCCCGCCACCGCTGCTGCCTCGCCGTATACGCACCGCCCTTGACAAAAGCGGGAGGAGGCATTCGCCCCGGTTGTGGCGGGCGAGCAGGCGGTGCGCGCGGCGGCGACCGGGGCCAAAACCGGGTTTTAATAATTATATGCGGGTCGGGCCGGCCGGCGGGTCTGTTTAGAGGAAATGATCAACGGCCGGCCGAAGTGGGCCAAAACGCACGTGAGCAGCACCCGCCCGCCCCGGACACCGGGCGACATGGAACCGGCATTAGGGGGGAATAACATTTACGCCTCCCCCGCGCGCGCGCTCTCGTTAGTGGCGTCCAGATGCTATCGAGGTATCGAAGTCCTGGTCGAGTCTCAAGGTCGCACGGGCGGGGCGCTTAGGTAGGTGGGTGTGTGCGTCCGGCCCCTTGTTCCTACTGGTCCTGGAGTCCTGGACGTACGCGACGGGTGCTCGGGGGAGAGCGTGGGAGGGCCGGGCGTCGTCGGGCGAAGGCAAAAGCAAAGACCAGCCAACGCGCAATGATTTGATGAGTTACAGCCCAGCCAATCACAAATCACGACCGACTTGTTCGCCTAATGGAACACGGCACACCACAGCCCTGCTCCTCCGATTCCTCATCAGTAATTATTATTGACCGTATCGCGTCTTTTTCCCACCCAAAACAACACAAACCGGACGCACGCTGCTTGGTGCGCTGCTGCTGCGCTATAGCTGCATTCCTTTCACTTTACTACAACTCGTTCTATGCTCGATGTGTTTTGCAGCAAGATGGGGCTGGCCGTGGAGCAGGAGATCTGGCGCTCGCCGCAGCAGGTGCACGCCGTGGGCTCGTCGCCGCTGTGCGCGCGCCTGCCCGGCCTCAGCCCCGGCCAGGACAAGCAGTGCCAGCTGTACCAGGACCACATGTCGCCCGTGGGCCGCGGAGCGCACGCCGCCATCACTGAGTGCCAGCACCAGTTCAAGGAGCGGCGCTGGAACTGCTCGGCCGCCGCCCTGGACCACACGCTCTTCAGCAGCGTCATGCGCGTCGGTGAGTCGCAAACTACTAAGTATACCATCTTGTAGCTGATTCAGTCAAAGTATAACCTAGTGCGAGGTGTGAGTACTTCATAAAAATAAATGAGTAAACACACAAAACAATCAGGTAAATTTGAAAAAAACAAGAAAAAAATCAATTTTAACGAAAAAAAAAAACACAAAAAAGACGAGAAAATAAGAAACCTAGACAAAAACTAGTGTACACTTGTATTTATGGTAAAGGTAGTAAAAGTATCCGTCGACTTAGGAGCAGTAAAATAACAAGTCGAATCAAGTGTTCAACCGGTAAACACCTTTGTGTGTGTGCAATTGTTTTTTGCAGCGAGCCGCGAGGTGGCGTACTTGCACGCGGTGACGGCGGCGGGGGTGGCGCACGCCGTGTCCAGGTCGTGCCGGGACGGGCAGCTGTCGTCGTGCGGCTGCGCGCGCTCCGGCCGGCCCCGGGACCTGCACCGCGACTGGATCTGGGGCGGCTGCGGCGACAACCTGGAGTACGGCTACAAGTGAGTATGCGGGAGTGCGGCTGCCCCGAGGGTGTACTTCACTGGAAAAATTACTATACAGCCCCCGAAAAAATCTGGAAAATGCCCGAAAAATAAAAGTAAGAATAGAATCCATTTACAATCAGTAAAATTTAGAAAAACAAAACAAGAAAAAAATCATCAAAATCAGAAAAGTCGGTGTAGACTTAAATTTATTGTGAAGTACTCCTCGGGGTGCCCTACCGACTCCAACAACGGTGGTCCTTCCCCGGCGCACCGCCCGAGCGGCAGGCAGCCAGTCGGGCGCCGTGCGCGAGGTGCTGCCTACGCTCCCGGCGCCTAGTGGTGCGCTGGCGCGGAGCTCTGCCTCATGGACGGCAGGGATAGACGGGGACATGACGGCGGTGCGACCTGTTGCAGGTTCACGCAGGGCTTCGTCGACGTCCGCGAGCGCGAGCGCAAGCTGAGGCGCGGCAGCCGGGAGCAGGCGCGGGCGCTCATGAACCTGCACAACAACGAGGCCGGGCGCAGGGTGAGTACACCAGGGAGGGGTCGTGACCCCGGGTGATGAATGGCTTCAGACCGTGAGTGACAGACTGCGCCCCTCCGCCACGCCCGGCCGCCCGGCCAGGCCGCAGGAGGTGGAGGTGGAGGTGATGTCGCGGGGACGACGTGTGACGGCCGCTCGGCAACACCACCACCAATCAACAACACGCCGGGCAGGTCTGCCGGGGCCTCAGGATGGTGAGAGAGCGGCGGCGGACGCTGTCGCTCCCCGGCTGGACGACGCTGTAGCTGCCGGGTCCATGAGCGGCGACCGCCCTCGGCGACAGCGCGGGGGCTCCTGCGGGGCGGCCGCCGACGCTCGGGTTGATGTTGGTGCACTTCGAGGTGCGCGTTACGCCCCAGCGTTACGGGAGGGAATGGGTTGAGGGGGGGGG